TAAATGATGCTGATAGCCTTGAAGCCAGCTTAAGGAAATGTGCTTAGTTAATGCTCCTCCCTGGTCATTCCAAGGATGCTGATATGTTCAAAGGATGAATGACTTTCTGAAATGCCAGCTTGAATTCTGCTATTGCACGTGACTCATAGATGATGATGGTTGCAGTTGTGCTCTGCACAAGTGCTCAGTGTGCAGTTCTCAGTGTGGAGGGAAAGGTGAAAGGCATTTTGGCTGGATCTGGTGCCAGGGCTGATGCCACCCAGCAGCCTCATGGCTGAGTTACATAGTGCCATGGGAAACAGCTGACTGGCAAAAAGTGATTCCATGTGACTGAGGCTGGCAGGGGACAAGGGAAGGCTCAGGCTGGAGCTGTCCCCAGAGCAGAGGTTGGAGCTCCAGGTCCCCTGCATCCCCTGGAAGTCACTGCCCTGCTGGGCAGCAGCTCTTGGGTGTGCAGTGCCTGGCATGGCTGTGCCCTCAGCCCTGGGGGAGCAGGCAGCCAGGCTGGGGGGCTCAGCCCTCCCTCCTGTGCAGGAGCCCTCTGGGGGACATGTGCCCTGAGCCCAGAAGAACAGCTCATGTGGCACCCAGGCCCCCATCAGTTGGATATGGATCATTTAGGATCGCTGCCTCAATAAGTTCATAACATGAAAATGTTTTACTTACATCATGTACCTCGTCCTCAACAATTCAACCCTTTTAATGGATATAAGTAAAGGTGATTTTCTTCTGTATTTCAGCATTTGTATTATAAAGAATGTCTTTTTAAGAAGCTTTTCTGTTTCCAAAGTGTCCTTCTGAAGAGCAGCTGCAGAAAGAATTGGTTTGACCTCTGCTTCTTTAATTGCTTTTTGCTCTGCGTTGGCCTAGAAATGGATGTTGCCATTGTGTAAATTACTGTGACAGTGGAAAAAGAACTCATGAGATCAGGTGTGTAGTTTCCATCAGGAAAATATGCTTCTTAAATGGAAAGCAGCATCTACCAGTTCATAACCAGAGTCTGGGTCACTCTGAAAATCCCAAATGTTAATTACTTTATTTTCTGCTATTGAGCAGCTCCATGGTGTCACTGTTTTGTGGCCAAGGGCAGATTGAATCTGAAATTTACTATGAGCTCCTTTCAGACTCTGCCAGGGGATGTTCAGACATAGGGAGCAAAGCTCAGTCACTTGTACAGTCACACACCTGGACTCAGTGTGGCACCGTGCTCAACTGCTGCCCCTGGAGCTTCTCCACCTTCACCTCTTGTGGGGCAAGCTGGAAGGAAAGAGCAGGAGCTTTTTACACCCCCAAGGCTGAAGGTGTGGGGTTGTGTGGAACTGGCCCCTCTGCAGGTGGGGGTGCAGCTGTGCTGTGTGTGTCACTGTGCTCTGTGTGTCACTGTGCTGTGCTGAAGTTGTTGGGTTGTGTGGAACTGGCACTTTGCTGGGTGTGTGTGTCACTGTGCTGTGTGTGTCACTGTGCTCTGTGTGTCACTGTGCTGTGTGTGTGTCACTGTGCTGTGTGTGTCACTGTGCTCTGTGTGTGTCACTGTGCTGTGTGTGTGTCACTGTGCTGTGTGTGTGTGTCACTGTGCTGTGTGTGTGTGTCACTGTGCTGTGTGTGTCACTGTGCTCTGTGTGTCACTGTGCTGTGTGTGTGTCACTGTGCTGTGTGTCACTGTGCTGTGTGTGTGTCACTGTGCTGAGTGTGTCACTGTGCTGTGTGTGTCACTGTGCTGTGTGTGTGTCACTGTGCTGTGTGTCACTGTGCTGTGTGTCACTGCACTGTGTGTGTCACTGTGCAGAAGCACAGGGCTCTGGCTCAGCCCTGCAGGGCTGTCCTGCTCAGGGGCTCCCAGGGCTGCCCTGCTGCCATCAGCTGGTCACCCTGCAGCCAGGGCAGGCCAGCCCCCGTGGAGTGCAGCTCACCTTGTGTCTGCTGGGCTGTGCCTGAGCCCCGCAGTGCTGTTGGTGCTTGGGGGCACACAGGGCTCAGTGTGTGCATCAGGGGGGCTGGCACTGCTGCTGCAGGGGCACACCTGAGTGCAGCAGTGCCTGGTGCTTGCTGTTGCTCAAGGAAATGGTTCCTCCCCTGTTTGAGGTGTGATTGCTGAGCCAAGGGAGCACTGGGGAAGATGCTCCCCCTCCCTGTGTCAGGGCAGGAGCACCAGTCTCTGCTTCCAGCTGCTCGCCTGGGCCTGTGGGCTCCTGGCATTCTCTTTCCCAAGCTTTCTTGGAAGTACTGGTGGCAGCAACAGGGAAATGGTGCTCTTGAATGTGAGCAAAGGAAGGGCTTTGTTTTCTCTGTGCCAGCTCCAGCCCCTTCTCGGGTGAGGTCCCTTCCACATCCTGGTGAGCTCAGCCATCAGCAGATTGCTCAGCAAATCCTGGCCATTTAGCAGTGGAATAAGCAGTTAGCCTCCCAGAAAGGCATGCCCTTGAATTTAAAAGGCTTCTGACCTGATGGGTAAAGCTGAATTTTTAGCACACAGACCTCTGGTCTGAGAAAGCTGCTGTGGTGAAGCTGTGAGTGTGTAAACCTGAGGTCAGTCTAGTGCAGCCTCTTATGGTCTGTGTGTGAATGAGCATTTGGCCTTGCAAAATGTCTTCCCTCTTCCTCAGCAATAAGTCCCTGTGCCATCTACAGTAGTTAATGATAGAAGCAACAGTGCTTGTATAATTAGCCCATTAATACCCCAAAGGACTCAGCATGCTAATTACCTGACACAATGAGATTAGCAAGTTGCATTACAAGAATTCAAAATACTTGGATCAACAGTAGAATAGCAGGTGGGTGTCCTTAGTTAGCACACCTGCTTGTTTTAACAGTCCTGGCATGGAGTATTTCTGAAGAATCAGTATGCCTGGGGAGCTTCTTCTCCACTGTTAATTTGTTCTGTGATTAATTGATGGCCTGTAAGGCTTCTTGGTTTAAATTACTTGGTGCTGTCTCCCAGGATTAGGCTTTATCTTCCTTAATTTTACAAAAAAACCCCAAAAAACCAAAAAAAAACACCAAAAAACCAAACCAAAAACCCCAAACCCAACAACAATAAACAAACAAAAAGACTGGGGGAAAAAGAAAAGAAAAGAAAAAAAAATTCTGTTGAAAATTTTGGTTTTGGGATATTTTTACATGGTTTTATCACAATATTTGATTTCTGTAGGCTAATAAATCATAGCAAAACATTTAGTATAGTCCTGCTAGCTACACCTGTGATCCATTGCTTTGTAGGAGAACTCATTAATAACCCAGACAAGCTGTGTATTAGTTGGAGATGGATGGCTTAGAATTCCTGACTGTGTCCTCAGAAGGTGGCCTTTCCAAAAATCACCAACCTGGCCTCTTGACAGAGGCACTTGGCAATGTGTCCTGATGGCATCAGCCCCAGATAACTGATGGTGACAGGCAGAAGAGATGCAGTCTTCCTGCTGGGGTGGTGAACCCCAGATCATTTCTAAATGTCATTTGAAGATGGACTCACAGGGCTTGGAGTTGCAGGGTAGATTTTTTAGAGCAATTATTTGAACAAATTACTTGGGCATTTGAAGGTTTGCTGTCACCTAAAATATCCACAGGTAATTTGGTGAGCAGAAGCATCTCTGCCCATAAACTGTGTGTGTCAGAGCTGTCGGAAGGGATGAAGTGAGATGTAACCTGGCACTGCTTGATTCCAGGACTGCACTGCCAGGTGGTGCCAGAGCCACCCAGAGCAAGATCCCAGACTGGTGCAGAGGTGAGGCACCAGCCTTGCAGAGAGTGGAGAGGGCAGAGGGGCAGGTTGAAGTAATGCTGGTCACTTGGGGGGTGTGTGACAAAGGAAATGCACAGCCCTGGCAGAGGTGTGTGGTCAGAAGTGAGGCTGAGTGCGCTGTGCTCGGTGTCCTGCCTGCCTGTCAGGGTGTGCACACATCAGGGGGATGCCACAGGGGTTCCAGAGGTTGTTTTGCTGCCAGTGCTGGTTTCCAGCAGCCCTGCAGAGCTGGTGCTGCTGGCAGGGGCTCCATGCCAGGCTGAACATGCTCTGGCTGCACCAGCCCAGCTGGATTTGGAGCTCCTGTAGACATTTGTCCTTAAAAATCCCTCTCTTTCCTGAGGAGATTTTTTAATCGTTAATATTCCAGGCAGTGCCTGTGGATATCCTGGCTTCAGCTTGCAAAGACTTCATTTCAACTTTTTAATGAGCTGAGGCAGGGCTTCAGTTTGCAGCACACGCAGTGCTTTTGCTCCTGTCTGGTGGGAGGGCTCAGCCTTTGCCAGGATCAGGCCCATCATTAGGGTTTGCTGCTGTCTGCGCTCTTTCCTTCCAGGAGACTGGGCTAATCCACAGGACAGGGTGCTGGGTTGGTGTCTCTCCCTCAGTTGCTTTCCTGGACATTTAACAAGTAGCTGCAGTGATAATTATGGCAGATCGTTGCTGTGTAAACATCCTGCTGACAGGCTGGCCCTGTGTAATTCCCTCTCCGAGCAGGGCAGGCTGTGGATTAGCACTGGAGTGCTTTGTGCAGTGTGTGTTTGGAGGAGGGCACTTGGAGATGCTGCTTCTGCACTTCCCCAGGCTCAGGCTGCTGGGCTGCCTTTGTGATTTCATGATGCTCAGGCAGAGCTTTTGGCACTTCTTTACATGATGTATTTCTCCTTCAAGGCTGGACAGGACTGAACAGCCTGCTCCAGTGAAAGGTGTCCCTGCCCATGGCAGGGGGGGTGGAATAGGATGATCTTTGAGGTCCCTTACAACCCAAAACATTTTCTGAATCTACTTTACCTATTCATGGTAAACACGGTGATAACTGTGGATTTGTGTCTTATTTCAATTGTATTTCAGTCTGTAGTACAGCTTATTTTATTCCTTCCAAGCCTCTGTTTCTCTAACATTTTCAGATGCTGAGTTCCATGCCAGGAACGCTGGCGCCTGCAGTGTGGGGACATGTGTGGGCCATTGGTTTTCCTGGGGCAGGGCTGTGGCTGGGGCGAGTGGTGCTTTTGCCTTGACCGGTGTGTGTTTGTGCTCTGCGCAGTGTACGGGCACAACGTGAAGAGCAGCAACGACTTCATCGGCAGGATTGTGATCGGGCAGTACTCGACGGGCGCCCCCGAGTCCAACCACTGGCGCCGCATGCTGAGCGCGCACCGCACGGCCGTGGAGCAGTGGCACAGCCTGCGCTCCCGCGAGGACTGCGACCGCGTCTCGCCCGCCTCCCTCGAGGTGACATGAGCCCAGGAGATAAAACAAACCAAGCCAACGACTCGGCCACCCCACCTCGCACCCTACACGCGCCCCGCGGCAGCTCCGTTGGATTCACGCGGCACCCAGGCAGCCGTGCTGGCCCCGGTGGTCCCACTGTGTGCCACTGGCTCCAGCTGTGCCCCCGGGGCCGGGCAGCTCGGGCTGAGCGTGGCCGTGCCGTGGGAGGCACGGAGCGGGTGCAGGAGCTGGGAGTTGCCTCTGCTGTCCTTCCAGTCCAAACCCATGGCTCATCCTCTCGGAGATATAAGTACCCGTGTGCTCTCGTTGGTGAACGTGGTAATTAGGCTAGAATATTTTTTTAAACGGTAGAACCTGTGGTGAAATCGATTCTGACTGCAGTTTTGTCCTTGTAGTAGTTTTAACAGAATTAAGCTGCTGTTAGTGTGTGCGTTTGTGTGCCAGGGCAGTGTGTGGCCCACGTGGGACGGATCCCGTGTCCCGTCAGCGGTGACCTGCCAGTCTCAATAGCAGTCTGTGTGTGTAGTAGATTCAGTGCTGATATAGCAAAATAAACATTTCCAATAGCATTTGTACTGGGAAAACCAGCTCACGTCCTTTCAAACATGTGCTGTGCAAAAAACCACCTGCTCCAGGGACTTGGACAGTTAAGAAGACCCAGAAACCACAATTTTAATTCTCTCACAGACTGCAGTGGCTTTCTGTGTTGTGTGTGTGTTTACCCAGGTAGTTCTTCAGGTCACCAAGTGAACTTAGCTACAGTCAAGCTGTCCTGTTGGTTGCTTCTGTACATTTTATTTTTCCACAGCGTATTGTCTGGTATGATGGAGATTGTATATTTATTGAAAATAAAATACTATTTAATTGTGCCACATGGATTGGGGAGATACTTGTTGAATTCACCTTTGTGTTGAGCTCCTTCAGTTATGCTTATGTCAGAAAAAAAGCCAAAATGTTGGTTGTTACCCCGTTGTCACTCACTGCAGATGAACTAGGAGCAGTTTGAGAGAAGCTGGGCACCTGCTGCTGGAGGTGGGTGTGGAGAGCGAGCTGGATGCCCTGGTCTGGCCATGGTGGTTCCCAGCAGCCTGGGGCTGGACCTGTCAGACTCCAGAGATGGCACGTGGCCGGATGGACAGCACTCATCTCCCTCCTCTATTCATTAAATGAAGCCCAAAATTAAACTCCAGTACCTCCTGTGCTTTTAATATTTTGATTTTTAAAAAGGAAAAAAGAACACACATTTATTTCACCTGTTTGTTATTTAGCTGCTACAGTTAGGGACAGGTGAATCTTAAAAAGCAAAACAAAACCCAACCACACCAAAAAAACCCAAACCAAAAAAGCTCAGTGCTTGCTTTGGCAGGTGTCAGTGTGTGGGTCAATAATCCCTGCTGCTGTCCAGGTGTTCCTGCTGCAGGGCAGGTGTGTGCAGTAGCTCTGATATCAGCATCCCCTCAGCACTTTGCCAGTGGCAGCTGGCTCCCTGCTGCTCCCCAGCACAGCTGCTCTGTGCTAGCAGCACTCAGCAGTGGGGCAGTGCTGCCTGCAGGGCTGTCCAGGGCCATCCTCTGGCTGAGCACACTGTGGATGCTGGCTATCAATTCTAACCTGCCTCTCTGCAAGGTGAATTTCTTCTCTGTCCTGCAGTGAAGTTGATGGCAAATCTCTGTTCTCTGGCGTCCTCCTGCTTTGTCTCATCAAAAAATCACAGTGGAGAGGGACCCCACGAGCAGTCCTGGGCAAACGAGTGCTGTAGGAGGCTGATCTCTTCCTGTAACTCACAAAGGCTCAGGCACGGGGCCGTGGTTTCACCACTTACTGTGGCTGACATTAATGTTCTTCCATGTGGGACTGCAGAATGAGCTCAGGACATCCATGAGAGCAGACACAAGCTTTGCTCAGCACTGGGGATGAAATGTGAACAGAAAGTAATCTTGCCTGAGTTGGTCCTTGAAGTCACGAGGTGTCTGTTCCACAGGGAGGAACAGTCATGTACACAGGATGCCAAAAATTGGTGAGGGTGCCCAGAGGGAAGGTCAGTAGGAGCAGAACAGAAGCAGCCTGGGGAGCAAACAGGGCAGCGTGGCAGGGAGAGGAGCAGGAGGGATGAATTGTGGCCGTGCTCCTGGGGCTGCAGCCAGCAGGTGAAGCACATCTGATGTTTGGTGAGGTTGGGGGTAACCCCAAGGGCAGCTGCAGCTGGCACTGCGCTGTCCCAGTGCTGGGAGCAAAGCTGGTGCCCAGAGCTGTGCCAGGCTCAGGGCTGTGCCTCGGGCTGCTCAGTGCTCCCCACTGCGCTGGGGACGCTGCTGCCATGAGTGTGGATGTTAGGAACCAGAATAAAAGTTATTCAGGATCTCTGCTCCCTCTTTAAACATGGATATTCGCACTTTGGGAACAGATTAATATGCTCAAATGTTTTTGTTCCGTAGTTTGCTAAAAGTTGTTTACAAAACTGGCTTTATCTGAGGATGGCACACAGGAAAGAAGGCAAGAGGCATGCCTTGACTTCTAATAATCCCAATTCCTTCATTTTTTTGTGCTCTGCTGTAGCAGTAGGCTTTTCCTTGAGCCAGATAATTTCAGATAATATGGAAGGGGAGAGGTGTTCTTAAAAAGCTTTATTTAATATGAAGAAAACTTAATATAGAAAAGTTGACTGAATGAGTTATTGTCTCTGGAGTAAGTCTGGATGCTTTACTGTACTGAAAGCTTGGTGTCACCCAAATTGTTTATTCTTGAATCACTAAAAATGGGTCCAAAATGCTGAAAATTTTAATCTGTAGCTAAGAATAAAAAGGGAGCAGCATTGAGAGTGTTCCTAAGCAGTTCCTTCAGTGCTGATTTAAGGCATAAATTGAAAATTGAACAGGACCACTAAATTGTACAGTATTTGTGCCTGTACTATTTCCTTTATGAGTGCAACAGTTAGAAAAGGATTTTATACAGTGTTTTTAAAAACCTGAAGTTTATGTCTAACAAAATGCTGACCACAGGAAGGAAACATGCTGGAGTATATTGGTACAGACTGCTGTATCATATCAGGTTTTCTGCTACATGACGGCTTGGACCCAGCACAGACCTGACAGATGGGCACAGAGCGAATTCCTGAAACAGCCCTGGAGCCCCGGGCACAGCTGGGGGATCCTTCTTGCAGGCTGTTTAAGCGTGTCAGCGCATTGCCTTGCTCTGGGAAAAAATCCCAAACCGGAGGAAAACCAACAAACCCCACTCCCCGAAACCAAACCAAACCAAAGGCTCCACACAGTGGGGCACTGACGTGTTAAACGCCACTGCCCCTCAGCCCTGGGAGCCTTTCCGCGGCCTCCCTCCCCACGTTCGCTGCCGCAGCCGCCGCTCCCCGGTGTCAGCAGGGCCCCCGCGTGCAGCGGGGTCCCGTCCGTCACCCCGAGGTGACCGGCTGTCCGAGGGGTGCCGCGGGATGGGACCCTCAACACCGCCTGGGGCTGCCCCCGGGGGGCGAGGAGGGATGGTGTCCTCACTCGCCTGCGGCCCGGAGGGTGACAGCAGCGCTCCGAGGCAGCGTGCGCCCGAGCCGGGCAGGGGCAGCGCCGGGAGCCCGGCCCGGGCCCGTCTGGGCTGCGCTGAGGCGGGCGGGCTCAGCCGGGCCGGGCTGGGGCAGTGCCGCGGGTGCGGGTCCCCTCTGGGCTGTGCTGAGGGGGCCGGGGGCGGGCTGCGGAGGAGCCGCGGGGCTATACTATGCCCCCGCGGCCGAGGGGAGCGGAGCGGCGCCGGGCTCCGGCCATGGGCTGCGGGCGGGCGCTGTGCGCGCTGCTCGCCGCCGCCCTGCTGGCCGCACAGGCCTTCCCCCAGACCAACATCAAGATCAGCCAAGGTGAGTGCTCGGCGCCGGCCGCGGGGACTTCATCGGCGGCGGTGGCGGCAGGCGAGGAGCGTGTGCCTCCCGCAGGGCCGGCAGCTGGCTTCCCCCTGCGCCAGAAATCACTGACTTTCCTTGAAATCAACTTTCTTCTTCACCGTGGGGACGTGCCGAGGGCAGCCCCGGTACTTGCTTGGGGATGCCGGAGGTCTCTGGGCTGGCTTTGTTTCTGTGTGTCAGGTCAGCTCTTTGGCCCCTGCCCACACGCCCTGCCGTGGGTCCGGTGGCAGGGATGGGACACACACACGGAGGCTGCAGGGCTGTGCCATGCAGGCCAGCAGGACAGGCTGAGGGCCATCAGGGCTCCTCGTTTATTCACACTTACTACCTGTGAAAGAAACACCGGATTCTCCCTTATTCCCCTTCTTTGCTCCCCTTCTTTGCTCCGAGCAGTTACTGACTGCTGAATTTCCTTTAGGTTTCTTCCAAACTTTTCCACGGTGTCAGTGAAAGTGAGAGCTGCTGCACCAAGTTTGTTTGAACTTTAGATTTACTGGGACTGTGAGTGGAAAGGGATTCCTTAAGGGCTGTTTGGTGAGATCGTGAGAAAAGGGATCGATACAGCCTGGCTTTCCTGCCAGACGCCTAATCCGTGGGAGCGTTGCCAAAACTAATTAAGCAGGAAAAAACTCTGCAAGATAACTTCTATCTGTCAGTGCCAGCTGCAAGAGCGTTGCTGCTGGTATTGGCTGTAACCTCACAGCTCCAAACATACAGAGAATTTGAAGCTGTGAAACCAGCTTGGTTTCATTAAAGGATTTTACAAAGCAATGCCCTTGGTGTGAGAGGATGCCCCTCCCAATGTGCTTCAACTGATGTTTTATATTTTACTTGAACACTTGTGACATGTGCCTTAAAACCCTTCAGGGTGTGTAAAATATTGCCCAGTTGTGGGATTCGTGTCCATCAGTGGACATACCTTCCCCTGCAGCTCCATACAACCCCAGATACACTGAGACCAAGGTCCCTCCCCTGATCCTTCAAAGGTGGATGCTCAGTGTGAGACTCTTTCATCAGTTAATGAAAAACAAATATTGCAAGTAACATGAAGGTGGCATTGTTTGCCCATGGTGACTAGAATGTCAGGGCTTAAGGAGTTGCTTCTAAAGCCATGTGTGAGTGGAGGCATCCCAACATCACACCACAGCACTGTCTTAGTCCCTGCCACATGCTGCTGCCCTCCAACGCCCTGCTTAAATGCTTATTCTGTGGGTTTGCTCAATGAGGAGGACGTGGTGGGATGGAGCTCTGGCTCAGCTGGCACCCCCAGCTTAGCCACAGGCAGTTTCTGCTGAAGTCACCCTGGGGATGGGTTCTGGGGGTGCCCTGTCCCAGCCCTGTTGTCTCACCCCGCCCTTCTAGCTCCCCACAGCTCCAGCAGTGCTGAGCCTGGGTGAAGCCCTGCTGCTGGTGCTCCCCATGGCCTGAGCTGGTGAGGGTGGCTGGGTGAGCTCCAGGCTGCTGGTCCTGAGCCCAGCTCTGCCAGCTGGGACACTGCCCGTCCCTCACTGTCACCACCACAGCCCATCCTGGTGGAGGGGCTGTGTCCTGGGCAGCACCCAGACTTCCACATGACAGCATCTCCTCAGCTCCTCTCTGTTGACAGGAATTTCAGATGAGCCTTTTGGGTGTTGATGGGCGCTCTCCAAACGCAGCTGTTTGCCAAGAGCTGAAGAGGTTCACTTGCCTTTTCAGGTCAGATGGCAGCAGTAGCTTATGGATGTGCCAGGGGGCTGTCTCCTAGCACCTCTGAGGTTTGAGGAAAGCTGTTGATGTAATGGAGTTCTTTGATTCTCTGCAACAAGAAGAGCATCTCCTGCCAGCACTGAGCCAAGCTGGTCTGCTGTCCAAAACCCTTTGATGGAGCTGCAGCCCTTCAGGAGCCTTCCTTGCCTGGGCATCTCTTGCCAACCTTGCCCTAGCCTCAGATTTCACATCTCAGACCTGCAGATCCCTGCAAGTGAGGCAGC